CCCCTGGCGGGAGAGCGCGGCACTGCATCGTCAACCACCGGCGGAACCGGGACCCACCAGCCCCACGGACACAGACCCCTCCCGGACCCACAGCACCTCCCCGCCCGCTTCAGAGCATCATTTCCTTTCCTCCAACTGCCCCATGGACCCTCCAGCCCCTTCCAGACCTTCCTGGCACCGGAGGCACCACTCACGTCCAGGAGCTGCCTTCAGAGGTGATGGGGTTGGAAGGGGGCACATAGAAACTAAGGAGCTGTGGTCCTCAGTGCTGCACAACTTGCTGCCATGAGGGACAGCATCGCTGGCCTGCCCCTGCCTTTCCTGCAGCTCCAGGTTTATCCATGTGTATCCCAGTAAGGTGCTTTTTGGGATTACAGCTCCCCAAGGATTAATCCAGGAATCCCATGCATCACCAGAGGCTGCAGCAGAGCTGATGTCTGCTCTCTCCAAGGATGCTCTTTGCTGCTTTCCCTGCATGGGGCACAAGGAGACTCTACTTTTCCCCATGTCCTGGCTTCAATTTGCCCAGGACCAATGCGTCACCTCAGCAGGTTTGCTGCTGGTGGTGTCCCCACTTGTCCCTCAAGACTCATGGCCTCTTGGTGCTGAGCATTACAGAATGTTTTGGGTCGAAGGGTCCTTAAAGCTCACCCAGTTCCACACCCGTGCCACAGGCAGGGTCACCTTCCACTAGAGCAGGTTGCTCCAACCCCATCCAACCTGGCCTTGAACACTGCCAGGGATGGGGCACATCTGACACAAGTATCTGGTAACTCATAGCTGGGCTAAGAGTGATGTACAAAACTACCTATTTTTGTCTCCCCTCTCCAGTTTGGGGTGAAACAGGGCTGGTTTGGGCCCCTGGCCATGCCAGCCTCCTGCTCCACACACCCAGTCCTGGAGCTGGCTGTTCTCCTGGAAGCGATGGCAAGGTTGAAGGTGCTGTAGGGAACACAGGCATTGGGAGACGTCCCAGCAACTCCTCTCCTTAGCCTTAAAAGAGGGGAAGGAATTGAAGAGCATTTTAGCTCACTCACAGCTGAACACAAGGGGAAATGGAAGCAGCAGCACTTGACACCAGCGTGGGGACATCCCAGCTTTGAGGACATGGATACAACCTGCAAAGAAACTCATTTTGGTCTTACTTAAACGTAATGGGAGGTACCACACCAGTGGTTTTCACATCACATCTTCCTCCTCCTCTCGCCTCTCTTTTGGGTTGCTGCTTAAAGACCAAAATAGGGAACAAAGCGTGCGCCCAGCAGTGGAACTGAGCAGGCAAACACCTCCCAGCCTGGCAGAAGAACCCTCTCTGGCTTTCTCTGATGCTCACAATCATGATCCTCTCAAAAGAGAACTCATTGAATTCAATCAGGTCAAGCCTTCAGCTTCAGCAAAGCACCAGGTCTTGTGCTCCCACTGGAATCCATGAGGATACTAGTGAGGAATCCGTGCTTTTGGCCAGCTGGGAGGGCAAAGAGAGGCCACAGTTGTCAAATTAAGAGAGCAGAAACAATTAGGCACAGTTGTGAGTGAGTGCATAGAGAGGGTGAGTATTCATGGTGGGAAGCTCACCAGGCTGAGCTGCTGCCCCAGGGGAGAGGAGCAGCTCCAGCCCCTGCCTGCTCCCAGAGGCCATTTAATAGTCAAGATATTGCTAATGCAGCAGGATTCTCCTCCTTTTGGTTTCCTGACCACCAGCAGTTTTCCACAGGGAGATTATTTAGGATGGAAATGGGTGTCTGATTCACATGCCTGGAAGGATCCAGATAATGCAACACCTAAAGGGGCTACAAGAAGCCTGGAGAGGGGCTTTGGACAAGGGGAATGGCTTTAAGCTGCCAGAGGGGAGACTGAGATGAGCTCTGAGGCAGAAGCTCTTCCCTGGGAGGGTGCTGAGGCGCTGGCACAGGGTGCCCAGAGGAGCTGTGGCTGCCCCATCCCTGGCAGTGTTCAAGGCCAGGTTAGACACAGGGGCTTGGAGCAACCTGCTCTAGTGGAAGGTGTCCCTGCCCGTGGCAGGGGTTGGAGCTGGAGGAGCTTTAAGGTCCCTTCCAACCCAAACCCATGATTCTAATCCACAACTTCCCCAGGATGTGGGAACTTTAAGGAATTAACAGTGCAGTGAAGCATACAGAGGGGACAGGGAAGGTGCTGCCATGGGGCAGGGAGTGCTGGAAAGGCAGCAGCAGACACCAGTGATGCTCAACAGGATCTCACGTTTATTATTGAGAAGTGATTAATGGTGAAAAGAAAGGCAATGCCCATTCCTCATCGGCTGAACAAGAAACTCAAGGAACAGATTTCACTACACAGTTTACAATAGTTCTTCTTCTTTTGCGTGTGTCCAAAATTCATTTTCCTGTAACCAAAACAAGTTTTTACCACTGGTCTCAGCTTCCAAAACTCAAAGTAATCCAGACTTCATCTGTATAACGCACAAGAACAGAACATTGCTGAGGACTCCCAGGACTTGACTTTTGAGTAACAAAGGAGAAAATGAACCACCTTTAAGACACAACCTTGTGGACAATTGCTCTTCAATTCTTCTTAGGCCAAACCCCCGACTTCCTCGTTGGATTCCTCCTCTTCCAGGCCAGGGTTGGGATGGGGGGGGGGGAAGAAAGAACAAACGTTATTCCACTCGCAGCGGTGGATGTTCCAACTGGTGTCCCAAGTGCAAATGTCAGAACCAGGGGAAGGAGAGGCAAAGGGGGTGGAAGGGAAGCGTTGGGGCTTAAAAATGAGAGAGGAAACCAAAAGGCAGATGCCACTTCTGGCCCTGAAAACCCCAAAACAACATAGTAAAAAGACAAAACCCAAAGCGGATGCTCGGAAATCACAACCAAAGCCAAAAGAAAAGGGACAAGTTTTTACCTCTACTCTACCTAGAAGGGATTTTTTTTGTCCTTTTTGTGGTTTTTTTGTTTTTTTTTTTTGAGTCCTATGTCTGGTGAAATTCCAATATTTTTTGTTTGGTTTTTTTTTTTTTTTCCTTTTTTCCTTTTCAACTGAAAGTTTGGAAAGAGTCTTTTTGAAGTCAATGAAATTAAGACAAAACAAAAAAGTCCTAATTCTCTCTGGGCTCCGTTTTGCTCATTCTTTCTCTCTCTGACAGGTAGCTGGGATGCAATCTCTGCTGCAGTCTCTGGGGGAAGGCAACGGCCTTTTACTTGACCCGGCCTTGGCGTTCCTGCAAAAGGAAAGAAGAACATGTTAGACAAGAGCAGTTTTAATTCCCTGTTTGCTCACAGCATCATTGTGACACATGGATCTGCAGTGGAGGCCTGGCCCACACCACTGAATCCCAGCCTGGTTTGGGTTGGAGGGGACCATAAAGCTCATCCAGTTCCGAACCCCTGACACCTTCCACTAGAGCAGGTTGCTCCAAGCCCCTGTGTCCAACCTGGCCTTGAACACTGCCAGGGATGGGACATCCTTCCCTGGAGAAAGAGGATGTTTCTTTGCAGAGGAGGTACTAGAGCTGTGTGTGGTTGACACCATGATATGTTCCACTGCTAAGGTCCAGCAGCTCAGCACATTTCCCCTTTACAAGGGGTATTGATACCATAGCTCTGCTCCTCATCCTCCCTCCTTGCTCATGGAGTTACGGACTTTTCCCAGGACAGACATCACCAATGTGCTCCAAGCTGGAGGTTTACCAGCAGAAAGAGCAGGGAGAAACAATAAAATAACCAAGAAGGACAAACCAAGGAAGAATTGGTGAAAAAACAGCGAGTCACTGTCATTGCTGCAATCAAGGCCAGGTTGGATGGGGCTTGGAGCAACCTGCTCTAGCAGAAGGTGTTCTTGCCTGTAGCAGGGGGTTGGAACTGGATGAGCTTTAAGGTCCCTTCTACCCCCTTGGTAGTCATCCCCATCTCTCCTCCAGCACTGACGGAACACGTTGTCCAGACGAACATTTGCACCAAGAGGCAGCACAGCAGCAGATACACCCAGGCAGGAAGGGCTACGACATCCTCTCCTGTGCCAAGGACTATGTGCTTGTGGTTTAGCAGAGAAGCTTTAACACAGAAGAGTGTCTACATTACTCCAGAAGGTTAAGAGATGCTGCCCATCCCACACTCAAAGTGCCATTTCCAGATGAACCGATACCACCTAACCCAGCCTCAAGAGATGCCAAGTCCATCCCACCTCCACAGCAAAGCAATACTCGCAGGAGGTGCCCACTGGCAGAGTGAGACATGGATTCTCCCTTCTATCCCTCAGAAGGGACACTGAGAGAGCTCAGAATGGTTGTTTCAGCTCAGGATGCTTCCCTGGGAGGCTGCCCCATGTCAGGGCAGCAGCAGAGCTGCCCCACGTTAACCTGGTGAGCAGAGACACCTTCTCCTCCAGAAGCATGCAGGTAGCTCAAAAGAACAGTGTCCTCTGCCACCACTAAACCCAGGGAGAGCTTGTCTCCAGGAAGCTTCCTTCCTGGGCTAACAGCATCGATAGTTGTCTATTGGTAGGAAACATCCCCAAAAGGTTTCTAAGAATAGGTGCCTTGCATTCAGCTCAAAACAATACCCCAGGCACATGGTGACCCAAGGAGGCTTCAGCTCCAAGTCCTCTGCATGAGCCCTGTGTGATGCCATGCACAGATGGACGGCTTCTGAGGAGAAGGATAGATGAAAGCACACATCTCTTGAAGAATATGTGCCCCACATAAGTCAGCTTCATTCCCCTCTTTCTCCACTAAGTTTGTCCAAATGTGCTGCAGGTGCTAAAAAATCACCACTGCACAAGAACAAAAATCCAAGTACAAAGGTGGAAGCAAAGCTGGTTTTGAACACAGAGTAAACCCAGCGCTGCAGGGAAAGGCACAAACCAGAAGGAAGGTGCCAAGTCCTGCTCCTCCCCTGCTGCCTGGCTCAGCCCCTCACGTTCAACAAGGCCAGATGGCAGCGTGACACATTCCTGAAAAAAAATCCCAGGGAAGACGCGGGATAAGCCACTGCCAGGTTCAATCACCCCCTTTCTGACCACGTCCTGCTGTCTTGGGCTGGCTGCAGGCAGTGGCTGAGGGTCCTGCTGTGCACATCACCCTATTAGCTGACCAGATGGACCCTGATTAGTCACGTCTCCCTGCTGGGAAGGTGAAGCTGCTCCTGAGGCACCACCTTCAGAAGAGGTTAGAGCAGATGGTCCCACGCTAGAGAGGGGACCACAGTGAACATCTTAACTTCAGGGTGGATTACAGCCCAGTTTTTATCAACCCAGTCTGCTGTTCAGAACCTCCTGCTATTCAAGCTTGCCACAGAACCATTCTCCCTTCCATCAGGGCTGCAAACAGTGTCCTCAGGAGGTTGCCACAGTAAAATGCAGCATCGCATCTAACCTCACCCGCTGCTGGAAGATTCACAACCACTCTCTTGCTGTCTCCTCCATGGAAAGGGTGGTAGCCAGGGCCTGAAGGACTTTCACACTGTCTGATCTCCCCAGCCCAACTGCCACAGATCCCATGAACACATCCTGGTCCCTGGGGTGTTATGGAGTAACAAGTGAGCACCTAGGTCATAGCAAAGAAGCCAAGAGATCCACAAGAACATACAGTCAGTGATGTTGCAAACATTCGTCCTTTCTGGGTCATAGAATCCCAGCCTGGTTTGGGTTGAAGGGACCTTAAAGCTCCTCCAGCTCCAACCCCTGCCACGGGCAGGGACACCTTCCACTAGAGCAGGTTGCTCCAAGCCCCTGTGTCCAACCTGCCCTTGAACACTGCCAGGGATGGGGCAGCCACAGCTCCTCTGGGCACCCTGTGCCAGCGCCTCAGCACCCTCACAGGGAAGAGCTTCTGCCTCAGAGCTCATCTCAGTGTACTCCTCTCTCAGCCTGAAGCCATGACTCCTTGCCCTGAAATCATGGGCTGTGGGGTGATGTAACTTACAGCTACAGGACAGCCCAGGAGAGGGCAGAGCAGCATCTGTGCACACACACACACACACACTGGGCTTTGCCCTGGCACATAGTCCCTGGAGAGCAAAGAGATTCCATCAGGAAGTGTTTTCTTCTCTTTGGCTTCAATTTCATTAGACCTGAGCCATGTCTTATTGATCCATGTGGGAGGAGCAAGAAAAAGCCTGTTTCCATCTATCAAAGACCTCATGCACTGGCAGGGCAGGAGCACCATGGCACTGAGCTGGCTGAAGTGCCAAGTGACACGCTGATGACTAGAAGGACACATGCCATGGCTCAGATCAAGTGTTGACACCAGCCCATCACTGTGAGTGTGCTGCTGGGCTGGGGTTTAGAGGCACCAGGCTCAGACGAGCTCTCTTGTAAGTGGGAGCCCTCTGGAATCATCCTGCTTAAGCCACTTCAGTCCCTGGGGGCTGCAGCAATGTCACATGCCAGGTCCTGACCATAGCAACTGAAGGAGCTGGTGGAAAAGGCAGATGAGAGATTAAGTTATCTACTCACACTGCAGGGAGCCAACAACAACAAAGGCCCATAAGGTTGTCCCCAGAAATGCTGACAAGAGGTGAGAAAGCTGCACGGTTGTTCAGAGGCTCTTGCCTTGGTTAACAACCAACATCCAACCTCAACACTCCTCGGGCAAAGGTAAGGATCTTATTGCCACACTCCAGAGGAGGGAATAAAAGGTTATCATCAAAGGGAGGGTCTGGGGAAGAGCCAAGAGCTGTGCAGCAGATCGACGTGGTTTAATTGGACCTGGCTGACCTGGAGCACAGTGCAGCAGGCCAGGAAGCAGCCTGAGCTTCAAAGTGAGAAGCTCCTAAAGCAAAAAGCATCACTCACCCACAAAGGAACAGCAAGAGACCACTTCACTGGAGTCCAGTCTGCTCCCAGCATCGCTGCCCAAAGGGCTGAGGCAGCCAGCAAGCAAACCCTGGCCTGAAGACACTCACACACACTCTTGCTTATCACACCCCTTGCTCAACAGCCCAACTCTGCCCACGACATGGTATTTTGCTGTTGGAATTCTCCTCCCAATGCCACTGCCTGTCACACATGGGGTGCAATGCAGCAAAGCACATTTCCACATGCCCATGTCTCCAAGGCCTCAGAAATCAGGAGTGAGGGCAGGCCATTGTCTCAGCTGTGCCCAGCAGGATGAGCTCAAGGCCCAGTTAAGGGAGAAAAGCTCCATCCCTGCCTGTCTTGCCTAGGAAAGGGGATGAAAATCACAGAGTGATGTGGTTAAACTCAGACATCTTCATGCTACCTCCCAGCCACATAACAGAGCTCGTCCCCAACAATGAAGATACACAAATAAAAGTGACTTTGTCAGAGCAGGAAAGACCTTTTGGTTTAAGGAGCAAACCCAAATATCCACAGAACTCCAAAAGGGGCCAACTCACATCCCTGAGCCAAGAATTGGCTCACATGAAGCAAGCAGCTCCATTCCCAGAAACATGTATAATCACCCTCCCACAGAGAGAGCCATGTCCCACAGGCCAAAACTCATGCAGGGAGTAGAATGGTGGAAAAACTCAGAGCTGACAGGAATATTCGATGCCAAGAGCCACACAGAGCAGCCTGGGAGGACTCCAGTGGCATTCCATGAGCACTACTGGGCTCCCACTAGGTACCGGAACTGGACAGACTTATGGGTGGTCCTTGTGTTTAAGGCTAAAATCCTGCCTAAATCCCAAATAAGGCAGAAGAAATACTTCATGCTACAACACACACACAACCCCAGTATTCCATCTACTGAAAGGACAAGAGGAGATGGATTTGCCTGAGTCATCAGCTCGGATAATGCCAGTCCTGTGAGCAGAGCCTGCCCTGGGTGACTGAGCAGCAGTACAAGCAGGGTGGCACTGCTCTGTGGCAAGAGGCCAGCACTTGGTACCACTAAGGCACAGGTTCATAACCTAAAAGCCAGAAGATGGTACAACCAGCGCCAGGTACAAACAAGACCATCCAGGAAAATGAGGGGACTGCAATAACTGCAGTGAAAATGCCAGCAGAGAACAGAACAAGCAGCTTGCTAAATGAGTACCTGTCACATAACACTTCACATGAGACAGAGAAGAAAGTATCTTCTTTCAGCCCCAAAACTGTTGCAGAATGACATTTTCATTAAGAACAAGTAAGGAACATTGTGCATTCAGCTATTCTTGATGCAGTGCATTGATGCAAGGCTCACCTACCACTGGACTTGAACAGGTTTCCTGGGATTCTAAGCAGCTTTCAGCAACATCTTGTGACCCACTGCACTTG